CCCTAACCTAATCCCTAACTCTAACCTAAACCCTAACCCTAAACATACCTCTATATAAAAATAAACTTAATACTAACCTAAAACTACCTCGGGTACATATCTGTAGTACCTGTTACGACAACGACCCTTCGTGCGTGATTAAACAGGTGTACAATGAGAATTCCGGCTTTTGATTACACTGTCATTGGGCTTAGGCCTACGGCAATTGTTTTCGAATGATTGGCCAAAGCGTTCTAGAAAAATGTCACTGTATAAGTTGCCATACAGACTGCGTCGTGTAATACATTGTGTATCTGCCGAGTTCCACTGACTATCTGTCGACGTCTCATATCGGCTATTCGAAACGTTCTAAATCATATATAAACGTTATTGATGTTATGACGTCATTATAGGTTTTCACCGTATGTCCGCACAAACTGTTATCCGGCTAAGAAAATTAAATAAAAATTGAATTCGGTTTGTGAACTAAATAAGAATATATGCCATTCTTTACTATTTACACATTCTTTACTGCCTATCTCAGAAGCTTCATGTAACTGTATGCATGTACAACTAAACCAAGCTTACAAGAGGTGTATATCATTTGTGATCATCAGCAAATTCATATATCGCCACTATTGACACATAGAAATATAGCCCACAAATATATCGCACAGTAGAATATAACGGGTTGCTAAATTAAACGAAATAAAGTCGAAACTGTTAGAGTTGAAATATCGAACTTGGGCGTGAGAAATTCGAATCGCGACAGACCGGCTATATAATACTCACAGTATCCTTCGTCGAGACGAAACACATGTAGTTTAGAAGCAGCTGGTGAAACCACAAGTCGAAACCTGCCGTTCGTTACAATTAAACTACTCATTGCTGAGATGAGCAATGATGCATTGACGAGATAGCAATGAGATCGATATGGTGCAAGTTAGCAGTAATGCAAGACATTGCCGAGATAGAAATGAGATTGATATTGCAAGATAGCAATGATGCAAGGTAGCAGTAATGTGAGATATTGCCAAGATAGCAATAAGATTGATATTGCAAGATAACAGTAATGCGAGATATTACCGAGATAGCAATGATATTGATATTGCAAGATAACGGTAATGCGAAATATTACCGAGATAGCAATGAGATTGATATTGCAAGGTAGCAGTAATGCAAGATATTGCCGAGATATCAATGAGATCGATATATTGCAAAAATAGTAGTAATGCAACATACTGCATGCTGAGGTAGCAATGAGATTGATATTGCAATATAGCAACGATGCAAGATATTACTGAGATAGCGACGAGATTGATTAGGTAGCAATTCTTCTCTAAGCCTTGGAAACCGCCCCGTGCATGGAACTACGCCTCTATACTACCCCCCCCCCATATGACCCGATTAAATGTCATCCATCACTTATGGCGAGTCACAACTCGACAAAGGCTGTTCTGTACACGGAAGGAACCCAACATCCGCAATCATCCCACATATATATAGAAGAAAACATCTAAGGAAGGCTCCTGTACGAAGGCTAGCTGCTGCGTCCAGATGTAAGCACAAAGCGACTAATTGTAACCATACGCCCGTTAGACCTTTCCCTCGCCCTCTACGCCTTTCCATTGGTCTAGATCGCCCCATCCAATAACTTTTCCTCTTCCATAAGTCTACTATGTTCTTCCTAATTTTTCCCTGTCTCCTAGCGCTTCCTCTCCCACTCTGATCCCCTTTCCTCCTAACAGTTTGTTTCATGCTACACTCACGCGATACCATATTTCTCTTCACATGAAATAATATCGTTACCTGAGTGCATGTTGCGAGGCGCGTGTAGTAACAAAATATATGAGGTCATTATGTTACGAATAATACATTTCAATCTTGTGATTACTAATTCCCATGGGTATCCATGACCTTTCGCTGTGCTTGGCATGTCCAGTTCCCCGGGAAGTGCATAATTGCCTTATTGCACCTCATAGACCATATATTACATCCGCGAGCCTCGCTGATATTCGCATATATTCTTCTGGAAACAATTCAACAAACAAATTATTTGCACACAAACACAGCGCGCCCTCTTCAGTATTAACGGGTGTGTGTGTGTGAGTGTGTGTGCGTGTGCGTGTGTGTGTGTGTGTGAGTGTGTGTGCGTGTGTGTGTATGTGTGTGTTTGTGTGTGTGTGTCTGTGTGGGTGCTTCCAGTCCATTTGACCAAGGAGACGTGAAATGGATGCCTATTTCGATTGACTTCGTTTTTTAGTCTTCCTTAATTGTGATCACTTGTGTAGCCATGCACAACAAAAATGCATTAGGAAGGATGTTTCAAACCGCGCCCCAAACTAGTTGCTATCTTGCTCACAATTCCTTATTGTTAAAATGACAGGAAAATTAACTTCAGCAAGCGGAGGTTAAAAGTAAAACAGTTTCTATCAGCACGACGAAGCTCATGTTTGTAACAGTGTTGCCACCCGACTAGCATGCCCATAATTCGAGACTTCTAGCAACATTCGATCTCTGTCAGCAAATCAGCAGTCTTCAGTTCTTTTTAGGTTTTGCCACGTAGCTTAGGAATACATTTTTAGACTCGGTTCTTCTTTTTATCTCAAGTGCTCTTCGGCGGCTATGCTTGGTGGCACCACTGATCTCTACTATACTAACTACTGTTGTTTTCGGAAGATGGCGTAATGGCGTACTGCATCGCCATTCGATGGTTCTTTACGAAATGTTAGGCCCGGGAGGGGGCACTCGCTGGACAGGGTATATTTTCCGAACATCATTATTGGCACAGGGTTATCTAGATACCCAGCAAGCAAGCTGATATTGGCCCATTATTGGCAAAGCAATATTGGGCCAATATCACCAGGCCGATATTGGACCAATATAGGCAACCAATATTGTATACTTTTTAGTGCAGAATATTGGGACAGGGTGTATTTTAGGGCGCAAAGCGGTTTGCGACAGGGTCGGGTTTTCAAGGTCCCCGAGGCACCCCGCTACCCAGTTCCGAGGCGAGTGCACCCCCCCCCCCACGGATGTTAGGATACTCACCGACTGCTACCGGAAAGGTTATGGAGCCTTTAACAATGTCACGAGCGTAGCATTCGATCTTGTAATCGATCGATGTGTAGTTGGTTATTAACGAAATGGTAGGATACTCGCCGACTGCTACCGGAAAGGCTGTGGAACTTTTAACAATGTGACTATAGCGTAGCAATCGATCTTGTAATCGATCGATGTGTAGTTGGTTATTAACGAAATGGTAGGATACTCGCCGACTGCTACCGGAAAGGCTGTGGAACTTTTAACAATGTGACTATAGCGTAGCAATCGATCTTGTAATCGATCGATGTGTCGATGGTTATTGACGAAAAGCACGTCCAACTTTCCCTTCGAAGGCCGCGAGCTCAAACCCAACTCACACAAACGGGATCGGGGTGACCTGACCTGTAGCTAATCGTACGTAATAAGCCAGTTCGTAGTTAACCAAGGGGCCGGTTGTGTGACGACACAGGTCACCGGGTCATTTGTTACAAAAATCGATGAAATCTCGAGTGCAGCGTGCGCTCTCAGTTCAGTACGTAGATGTACATGTATTCTGTGTATACACGCACGCACGCACGCATGTGTACGTGCACACTGCCACACGCACGCACGCACGCACGTGTACGTGCACACGCACGCACGCATGTGTATGTGCACACGCACGTACGCACGCACGCACGCACGCACGTGTACGTGCACACGCACGCACGCGCGTGTACTTGTATACGCACGCACGCACGCATCTACGTGCACGCGCACACACACACGCACGTACGTGTACGTGCACACGCACGCACGCACGTGTACGTGCACACGCACGCACGCACGCACGTGTACGTGCACACGCACGAACGCAAGTGTACGTGCACATGCACGCACGCACGTGTACGTGCACACGCACGCACACACGCACGTGTATGTGCACACGCACGCACGCACGCACGTGTACGTGCACACGCGCGTACGCGCGCACGTGTACGTGTACACGCATGCACCCACGCGCGAACGAACGTGTACGTGCCCACGCGAAGACTGTAGCATTACAACGACCCAGATGTATGCGTATGTGTACTGTACGGTCGAAATACGAACTATTTTGTCACAAATGACCTGATCCGAAAGAATTCGTGGCAAAGTTCGCGCATGCGCAGACTGTATAACTACGAACTGGCTTATACGCGGTGATGCACATCTATTACGTTATGAGATTTAGTAGTACACACGCGTATCGTATGTAGAATCGTATACGCAGAATATGAAAATATCGTACGTACAATCGTATGATTGTAAGATTTAATGCGCGTTGAAAAATTAGATTGCCAATGACGTCTATGGACGTCGTCTCATTCTGCTTGTTGTAACGAAGACGCGCTGGTCCGGGCAACTGCTGGGTTGTCGAGGAGCAATAACTGAGGAACCAGGATGCGCTTTTATAATTATCCGTAGCGTGCCAAACGTTGCTGTCGTTCCACAATAAATCTGCCTGGATATAGGTGTGTCTGAAAACGCAATTTGAAACTATGCACACGCATTTACATCTGTTCGAAATTTTTACGGTATCATTATTGTCAAATAATGTATATGCCTTCTTAGAATCGGGAAGATGACAGAAATCATTATAATAGTTATAACGCAGCACATATATTCGGTATTGTTTGAAACCTGTCGCAAAGCAATGTGTCGTTTTGCATGACCGGCCATGACAGTCTTCGTTAAAAAAAAATACGGCCTCCCTGGAAAATCCCTGCAAAGTTGACCGATATTGTAATTCTTTATCTGCGAGCAGGCACCTTGTCTAGGGGCCATTTTTCGTCTCTGATGACGTTGATGATAACGCGCGGATGTTTTAATTCAGGTATAGCCTAGCTATTTAGCTGTTTATGGTGATGGTGTCACTTGAAAAACACTCAGACCTCTGATCTGCAACAGGTTGGCAAAGGAAGGACATCCTGCTGTAAAATCGAAACAACACAAACATGACTAGTCATAATCAAAGAATCCGTACAGGCGGTGCTGGCTCCATTTTAAAAGCCAGTAGTGCCTCCGGCTTGGCAGACCTCGGGGTGCGTGGGGCTGCAGGGTCGGGCCATTGCGACGAATCTAGCGAACGCCCAAAGTCCTTCCGTGTTGGCACGCTCAATGTGGGCACAATGCGGGGTAAAGCTAGTGAAGTTGTGGAGACAATGACACGGAGAAGAATGGACTTGTGTTGTCTCCAAGAAACGAGGTGGAAGATGGATGGTGTCAAGATAATCGACGGTAAAGACTCGCGCTACAAGTTCTTCTGGTCCGGAAATGACAAGGGTACTAGTGGGGTAGGAGTATTACTGGCGGAGGAGTGGTGGGAGAAAGTGTTTCAGGTCATGAGAGTCTCGGACAGGGTTCTCCTAGTCCGAATGGTCATCGGCAGGACAGTGTTCGCGTTTATTTGCGTGTATGTGCCTCAGGTCGGCCTCAGCGATGCTGAGAAAAACTGCTTATACCAAATGCTGCACAGTGCTGTTGCCAAGGTCCCGGCCTCGGAGCAGCTCATCATTTGTGGTGACTGGAACGGGCACACTGGCGCTGAATCTACTGGCTTCAGAGAAGTGCATGGTGGGCAGGCCATCGGGCAGCGGAACACCGAAAAGGAGAGAGTGTTGGAGTTTGCGGTTGCTAATAAGCTCGTTGTTAGCGAACTCCTGTAGCAAGAAGAAGTAGGCACTGTCACTTAGCGTCTAGAACAGCCGCGCTACAGACGATCGGCCCTCATGCCTGTACCGGCGCAATTTCAGAGACAGGTGTCAATGTTAAGCAGTCACCTAGGGAGGGAGTGTGCATGCGCAGCATAGACTAGTGGTCGGAGAGCTTAGCAGTCTGCATCCGTCACTAATCCAAGCGGGCAAGTTTTCTGCCCCGTGTCAGAGGTGTGGAAGCTACGTGACGGCGCAGAGAGATAGACAAGTTGAGTTCTCTAGAAGTTTGCGTTGCTAAAGTACAGCAGGAACACGTGCGGAGTGCCCAGGCGATCAAGTAGATGAGCGATGGTCTTGCGCTGAAGGACAACGCTGTTGAAAGGTGACGGAGCAGGTGTGTGGCGTCCTCTTTCGATAAGCACGCATGGAGAATAAGCAGAGCTATGGTGGTGGAACGACTTGGTGATAGTGCAGTGAGGAGAGGCGTAAGAAATGTGGCTAGGCGTGGAAGAGCTTGGGGGTAGCGCCGTGAAGCGTACAAAGCAGCAAGGCGAGTCTCGGCAATCGTGGCGTTGCATCATGCAAGAACGATAGCTCGAGAAGGTTGTTCTGGAAAAATCAGCCCGCTAAGAGCGCGCTAGACTTCTTACCGGCTCGCCAAACAAATGGCGGCTTGACAACGCAAGATATCTCGGGGGAGAAACCTGTCAAGAATGACGCGTGGCGAACTCTCGCTTGATGTGATGCGATAGAGCAAGCTTGGAAGCAACCTACGGCGTGCTTAGATGTGGAGTTTGAGTGGAACGCCCAAGGATTTGTCAGAGGAATGCTCGAGTTGAAGGGCCGGCTTGTGAACCTAATCACCACGAGGAAATGAATAAAAGAAGCCATGCCACAAGATGTTCTCTCGCAAAGCGCGCGCGGGCCATCTGGTATCGTTGGTGAGATGCTGAAGCCTGCCGGGGAAGGGCTGGTGCGGTCTTGGTGCAGTGGTGCTCGTTGAGACCATCATATCCGGGGCCGGATTCGCGGACTGAATGGCGGAAGCTACATTGTCTACTTGTTTAAGGGAGAAAGGGATGGCTCTGGACGAGGAAACTACAGATAACCTGAAGTTGATTGATCAAGTGATTGAGGTGCTTGAGCGAGTGGTAGAGGGATTTATCAGGAAAAAGTGGGGAGTCGACAACATGCAGTTTGGCTTCTATGTCGGGCGTGGCACTACTGACGATACATACGCGGAGAAATAATGGGCGGCGGAAGCAAACCGAACACTACAGTGCGCCTTCATTGACAGCTGGAGAAGGATTCGAACGCGTGTCGCTTGGGCCGTTTCTGGGGGCATGCGCAAGCTCGGGATCGGCGAAGTGGCGCTTGGTCGCGGCTGGTCTAGCCTATATACACGGACGTGAGAAGCAGAGTGAGAGTTCGGGGTCGAGTACAGGCGTACGGAGTTTTTGGTGTTTTGAGTAGGGGGGCGCATCAGGCTTAGTTGCTGAGCGGCCGTTGCTTTTCATGGCATCGTGCTGAAGGCTCTGCGCATAGGAGTTCAGCGAAGGCTGCCAATGGAGCTGGCTCTATGCAGACGACTTGGTGGTATGCGCCGAGTCCTTGGAGGAGGCTGTTAGAAAGGTGGACATGTGGAAGTCGGGGATGGGAGAAGAAGGGCCGGCCTGCGGGTGAACATGAGGAAGACAAAAGTATCTTGGTATGCTGGCACAGACCTTGGACCGGCTGCTGAAGAGTCGCGGTAAGCACGGCTTGTGCTGTCTGGCCTCAAGCAGAAACTGGTAGCAACGGCAATCGTTGGCATTGGTGTTCGTTCTGAGTGCACAAGAATATGCCGCGGCAGTTTGGGCGCCGCTACACAAGACCGGCTGAGTTCAAGTGTGCCCGCTGCCTAGGCAAGCTGGCACGGGCCGAGTCGACGGGAGACCGATGCCAGCAGGTGATGATTGGTGCTCGACAAACTCAAAGTGGTTCGAGATGTTCTGCTACCTTGGAGACAATGCTTCTCTGGCAGGGGGAGGGCTGGGCAGGCTAGCTACTAATCAGCGCGCCTGCAGTGTGCATGGGGCACAATTCCGGGCAGCATGCTACCTTTCTTACAACGGGCGCGCATGCCTGCGCACTGCTCACGCCGGAGTCGTGTGTTATTTGACGTGTGTAAGAAGCTCGATGCTTGCATGCTTCTGAACGTGGGCCACGGAAGGCGGAAAGTACGCTNGAACACACACGTGAACACACACGGTGAACACACACGGTGAACACACACGGTGAACACACATGGTGAATCCCACACGGTAAACACACACGGTAAACACGCAAGGTGAACACACACGGTGAACACACACGGTGAACACACACGGTAAACACACACGGTGAACACACACGGTGAACACACATGGTGAATCCCACACGGTAAACACACACGGTGAACACACATGGTGAATCCCACACGGTGAACACACACGGTGAACACGCACGGTGAACANGCTGTTGACATTGTCACCGTTATCTCGTCGCAGTCATCGTCGTCGCCGCTCATCGTCGTCGCCGTCATCGTCGTCGCTGTCATCGTCGTCGCCGTCATCAGCGTCGCCGTCATCATCGTCATGGTAATCTGTGCTCGTCTTAGCCGAGCAATAGTGTTTTCATTTCTACCCGCGATGAGAAATAATGAGATTTTTCCATTTTGATCCCTCCCCCTGGATAATTGATATCCGTCTAATTCAGTATATGTAGCCGACGTGAACATCGTTACCTAATCCCTGCTAACTAAATAGGGCATTGCGATAACCCTTAGTGGCGTCTTTTAGTAAGAAACGCAGATATCTCTGGTTCGAGGTCAACCGGCATTGATGTGATATTTATTCGCCAACTGTCACCGCGTGATGCTAACAGTCCGCTAATTATTGATCAATCATGGATAGGGTTTTTGAGCCGTAGGTACTGACCCAACTGCCGGTTATGCTCCGGTACTGTAGAACCTCGAGTGATATCTTCGGATATGATAGACCCAACCATAACTCGATGAGTCTTGGACCCTAGTTTTACTATAATCGGTATATGTATGTCATCTCTAATAGTGTCAGTTGCTTCGAGAAAATATCAGCATGCATAAGTGACCCGCCGTCCTCAGTTGTGCGTGTGCTTCGTAATCGCACAAGCAGCACTATTCAATACGCGCGTGCATTCTTTTGTGCCATATTCTCTCCGTGTAATGTCGCAATGTCTGGGTCGTCGAGAAGAAGCGCAGCAATTATATAAATCTTTGCCAATATTATATGAAGGTCAGCAAGGTTGTATCGTTACAGCGTCTATTTCAATTTTTTCTATCTCTGCTAGCGGTACTGACCTGTCTGACATCCACACGTTAGCACTGTGTGCGTTTGCGCACACAATATAATCTACACTGGGATATAGTGTTTCCTTAAATAACGCATAATTTATACGATATACCGTATCCGCCACACGCGATCCTGTAAATGAATGTTGTTCATATTTGGCTTTGATTAAATAGACTGTTCAGCTATTAACTACAGCTCTCTTGCGTGCCGACTCTGCGGGAAATTATCTGCATATTCTGGATGACATCGAAATAGTTCAAAGCACTGCATCACCGTTTCAATTACCAGCGCCTATCCATTATATGGTCAATAATTTATATGCTTTTTATAGAAGCACGGAAGGATGAACACTGCGATAGGTCAGGATTATTAATGATTATATAACCGTGCTCGAGCACCATATATTCAGGCTGAATTCTTGTATTGAGACCTGTTTCAGCAAAGAGCAATGTGTTACATTTTGCCAGGGATGACCGGCCCATTAGACAGATTCTTGTGAAGGTCGTGAAAGAAAAAACACGGCCTCCTGAAAAATCCCTGCCAAAGTACCCCGCATATTGTAATTCTTTTGTCTGCGAGCTAGGACGCAGCTGGTACTAGACATTTTATTCGTCTCTGATGATCAGTTGATGATGACGAGCCGATGTATTACACTTCTGAAGTATAGCCGCACCATTTTATCAACTGTGAAGCTGCTGCTCCCATACCGGCTTAGCCTTTTTACAGACATCGACTGTTCCTGGCTTTCTCGATACACTGTACGTGAGGCTGTGTCGGTGCTAGGTTGTCGATTGTTCGACCGTCAGTCGCGTTGCGTCATTTTCGGTCGTCTCTGTCAGTCGTTGTCGCCGTCATCAGGGCGTCGCTTATCGTCGTCGCGTGTCGAGTCGTGTGGCGTCATGGTAATCATGACCAGCTCGTTAGATATTCAGGAGAATATAATTTTGCCATTATATTCACCTGCTCATACTCTATTACTATCTCTAATTTAGTAGCCACGAAACGTATAATCTCACTGCTTTGCGATCTCAACACCCCTGAGGCGGTTTTAAAACGCAAGGATCGCCCTGTTCTGTCTGTCGGACCGCATTCGTCATTATTCCTTTCCGCCACCGACTGCTGTATGCTCAGCAATCGTTTCCTCGTTCTACTTTTAGTGAGATTTAAGTCTAGACATAAAGGCCAAGTCAATACACACGCCGCGCGGCTCCATGACGCGACGCTATGTAGAATCGTAATACCGCAGAATATGAAAACGTCTATCGTAACGCGTACAACTGTTATAATTTGGCATTAAGATTTAATCAGCGCTGTTTGAAAATAGATTTGCAGATGACGCCGTCTCATATTCTGTTGTTGTAACGAAGACCGCGCTGGTCCGCGCCAACTGCTGGGTTTGTCGCAGGCAGCAATAACTTCACGACTCAGTATGCGCTTTTATTAATTATCCGTAGCTGGCCGAAACGTTGCGTCGTTCCAGCAATAAAATCTGCCTGATATACGGTGTGTCCTGAATAACGCCAATTTGAAATCTTGCACACGCATTTACACTCTGGTTCGAAGATGGCTATAAAAGCACCCATCCTGTTTCGCTAAGAGGTTTTGTCATTCCAAAATTATGCATATTCTTGTAATATCAAAAGTCACTCGCACTCTGCATTACCGTTCTCAATATACAGATATCATTATGTCAAATAATTTATATTGCTCCTTCTTAGAATCGGGAAGATGACAGAAATCATTATAATAGTTATAACGCAGCACATATATTCGGTATTGTTTGAAACCTGTCGCAAAGCAATGTGTCGTTTTGCATGACCGGCCATGACAGTCTTCATTGAAAAAACACGGCCTTCTTGGAAAATCCCTGCAAGGTTGACCGATATTGTAATTCTTTGTCTGCGAGCAGGCACCTGGTCTAGGGGCAATTTTTCGTCTCTGATGACGTTGATGATGACGCGCGGATGTTTTAATTCAAGTATAGCCAAGCCATTTTATCACGAAGGGGAGCTGCTGCTCCTATGTCCTTATTACAGACATCGATGTTCCTGGCTTTCCGTACCACTGTACCGTTTGAAGCTGTTGTTGCTGTTGTCATTGTCACCGTCATCGTCGTCGCTGTCATCGTCGTCGCTGTCATCGTCGTCGCCGTCATCGTCGTCGCTGTCATCGTCGTCGCCGTCATCGTCGTCGCCGTCATCGTCGTCGCTGTCATCGTCGTCGCCATCATCATCGTCATGGTAATCGTTGCAGCGTTAGTATCAGGGGATAATAATTTTGCCATTATTCACCCCTGATATTATATATCCTCTAATTCTAGCACGAACGTATATCTACTTGCTTGCGACTAACACCCTGAGGCGGTTTAAAACGCAGATCCTGTTCGGGACCGCATTGTAATTTCCCCCGCCACGCACCACTAAACAATCAACATAATATATAAACCCACGCCTGAATTGCTTGTAATCAATTCGCACATCGAATCTAAGTTGCATCATTATCTCCTCTTAGCTGTTAAGCTACGACTCGACGAAGCCTAGAGCCAGAGCCATGCAGAAATTGATACTGGTGTTGGTGCTGCTAGTTGCAATTGGTGCGACAATGATCCCTGTCGCTGACGGATCCTACACGTGCTGCTGTAGACGTTGCCGCCCGCCATGCTTCCGTTGCGAAAACCGTCAGCAATGCAACTGCGCCCGATGCAACTGTGATCGTTTCTGGTTCGTATATAAATTTGAGTTCATTAGCACGCGGCGCAAACATTTGAGAAATTAAACCGAAAAGGAATCGGATGAGCGCCGAGACAACAACTCTCGCCTCTAACGATACTGTTTAAATGCATTTTCACGTCGAGTAACGTGAAAACGCGGGAAAGCGTTCGTTATTGGCCATTGATTGTATAATAGGCAGGACGTGTCATAACACGAGCACACACACACACACACACCACACACACACACACACACACACACCACACATTCGACACACACCACACGCACTACAGGTGGAGCACACGCACACGCAGCACGCACGACGCACGACGCACACGCACCACGCACACGCACACAGCACCACGCACCACGCACAGCACACGCACACTGCACACGCACACGCACACGGTCACACGCCACCACCGGCACAACGCATTGCAACACGCACCACGCACACGCAGCGACGCACTACGCACGACGGCACACGGCAACAACCACACGCACACGCGCAACACGTCAAACCACACGCACACGCACACACACACAACCACACACACAACGCACACGCACAACGCACCACACATATATATATATATAGTAGTATTATGATAGTAATTAATTATATAAATTAATATATATATATATTATTATATATAGTGACACTCATGACAGACAGAATACGATAACTGCTCGAAACGCGTGTGACTATGTCCAACCGTAGGAAACACGCAATATCGATTATCGACAAAATCAACCTTGCTTCTATGGCGCACGCATTTTATAAAATCACACCTAACGATTCGATATTAGCTAGACCCGTTCTCGCGTCCCGTAAGAAAAGTAAGAATCTGTTTTAGTCGGCAGACCACGGGAAATTTTTCCGCAGCGTCATCGCCGACCGCATATGCTCAGGCTTAATATTGTGAAAGTAAACGAATATACAGCGAGTGATCGGTTGTGAGTATTATCAAAGACACCATACGGTTGCGGCAACTTTGTACCGATGCATATATCACAACGGGCTGCCTCATCAGGCGACTTGAATACTCCACGGATCACAGCGATGAACGATGGGTGACGCAAGCTCGTGCGAATAACACAGAGCTTCCACACGGATACTGGCGGACACATCCAGCTGTTTTAATATACTTATGTTTACTAAATGATAAGGTATGTGGAACTGATTGTTACCGTGTTATCACGAGGCACTATAAGACTGTGGTGAGAGACACGTTGCTAAATGTAAGGCAAGTCAGTATGTGGTGTAAAATATATACTCAGCAACTAACTTAACTTAGAAGGTCTCTTATTGTGCGCAACCTATCTCAGTGTAACTCCTATTCGCCTATGGGATAGGAATTTTGGAATTAAGATGCTGGTAAATTAATAATCACGATAAACTAATGAAATAGTTGATAAAAAATTTCGTAGTTTTAATCCGCACGAGACGAACCTATACTCATAGCGCATTATTACTTTGTATTGCATCACGTGAGAAATCGTTTGATAACGTCGCAGGTACTATAGGCCAATAGTGCCGCGCCCTGAGCGGGCACTATTGCCTATGCGCGACGCTATTGATTAATAACGGCATTGTGTTCACGTCAACGAAATGCTCCGCGTACTGGGCCCACGGCCACGCAAGAGTTTTCGAATTAATGGCTGGTTGTGTTTTGATCGAGCGCTTTTTGTTACATCGAATGCACCGCGCAAATTAGGAGTTATACAAGAAGGTATATAAGCATGAAAAGTAAACAGAAACAAGCGTAAATTGTAAATTTTCATACATTTATTTTGTACAAATAACACACAAATATACTACTTGCTGTGCTGAAATTCGTGAGACGTTAGACAGTTTAATACAAATTGAAATTGTTCGTTTAAAAGAAACTTGTCGTATTCACTTCATATATATTTGCCAAGTAGATTGGCAAAATCATGTGATTGGCACTAAAAACATTAATGCCTGTTGTTGGGGGCACTAATATATAAATAGTGTATTGTTATGGACTTTTGTATCGTTTACTTATTACCGTAATAATAATAATAATATAATAATTCTCTAAAATAAATTGGGTAATTGCATGAACATCGCCTTTTTAATTTTGTTCATTTAATTCATTACTTTCCACACCACGCGACCCCCCGGGCGGCTGCACAAGACCAGCACGCACGCAAACGGCACGCACGCACCACACACACACACACACACACACACACACACACAACACCAACGCGCCACGCACGCACAGCACGCACGCACGCACGCACGCACAGCAGAACCAACAAATAAATCAATGGCCATTGTTACACGTAGTTCCAATCTGAAATATGTATACGATAGAAAATGGCTACACACTTATCACTACTTATTTGCTGAGGCTCATCTAAATAAAATACATGGCTCAGACACAAACCGATTCCGCCTGTGTCCTTAGCCGACCGCATATCCGTATGACAGATACACACTAGCTGTTAGCGCATGTGCAACAGAGCAAGGTAATCAAAACGCTAATCCATGGTCCGTCCGAGAAAAAAACTAAAACAATGTTACTGATGATCAAACACATAAACTCACTTAATTAACACAAGATGCATGCTGCAGACATTAATTTTCTGTGATTTTAAAGAAATATTGAAACTGCGATAAAACAGCGCAAGCATCTTAATCGCGTAGAACAAACCAAAACATTTTTACTCTTAAAGGTTTCTTAAAAAATTGTCTAATAAATCAAAAGAAAATTAGGCACTATAAATGTTTCCGTCTAACAAGTCCATGAAATTTCGGTATATAAGGATTGCATTAGTGTTCGTTATAGCTACTGCACTAACACTTGCGCATTTTAGGATGAAAATAGGCTTATCCTCAAATTCCAATAAAAAAATTGCACTAAAATGTGTATGTCTAACAAGTCCATCGAATTTTTGTAATTATAAGTGATGCATTTAGTGTTCGTTACCAGCTACTGCACAAACTTGCGCATTTTTTAGGACAAATAGGCTTTATCCAACTTTTTATCATGACTGTTTTATTTGGACTATATGCCGTTAAATATTTCTGACTCTCACTGGTTTATAAAACAATATTTCAAAAATATTTGGTGGACCATAACGCGTCCTAAGCAATATAATATCAATGAACATGTTATACTTTATGTATCGAGAGAGGCAAGATCAATAATAGCACTTAGGACCAAGAGCAGGAGCGTAGCATACGATCTTCGGTAGCCCAGTGATGGCATAAAAACAACTGACTAGCAATAATGACCTGAAAATCTAAGAACGGCCAGTTGAGAAAAATTCCGGGCTTTCCAGTGGATTGACGTCAACTTTTGCCCTTCGAAGTGCGACGCGAGCATCGAAAACCCCCGAACTCACACAAAACGGGAGTCGGGTGGACGACCCTGTAGTCTAATCGTACGTAATACGCCTGCGATGCACCATTCTAGCTTGTACATTATGAGATTTAGTAGTAATCACCGCGTATTCGTACGTAGAATCGTATACGTAATAATATAAGATATCGTACGTACAATCGTATGATTGTAAGAATTTAATCGCGTTGAAAAAGTTAGATGCCCAATGACGTCGCTCATTCTGCTTGTTGTAACGAAAGACGCGCTGGTCCGCGGCAACTGCTGGGTGTCGATGAGCAATAACCGAGGAACCAGGAATGCGCTCTTATCGTAATCGTGCCAACCGTTTGCCTGTCCCCGTCAACAAAAAATCTGCTGGATACAGGACTATACAACGCATTTGAAACTTGCACACGCATTTTACATCTGTTCGAATGGCTATAAAAGATGTTCGCTAATAGGTTTGTCATTCGAAATCATGCATATTCCTGGAATATCAAAACACTGAATTACGTTACAATTACGGTATCATTATTGTCAAATAATTTATATGCCTTTTTAGAATCGGGAAGATGACAGCAAATCATTATAAAGTATAACGCAGCAACATATATTCGATATTGTTTGAAAACCTGCGAAAAGCAATTGTGTCGTTATGCATGACCGGCCATCGACAGTCTTCGTTGAAAAAACACGCCTTCCTGGAAAATCCCTGCAAATTGACGCGATATTGTATTGCTTTGTCTGCGATCAGCACCTTCTAGAGACGCATTTCTCTGCTGATGACTTCCCATCGAGTAATGGCAGTGCATGTTGCTAGAATTCTATAAATACTCCTAACTAGTTCCGGTCCAGTATTTTAATGGAATGTTAATAAGTGACCTTAAGAAAATAAAAAAAGGATTTTATGGCGTCCTAGTTCTAGCTATTAATTTATATCTGCTTGCTTGACAGAAAACGTTCATTGAGCTATAACTACAGATCCTGGTCGGACCGCAATTGTATTTCCCGCCGCCACGCCCCACTAACAATCAACATAAATATAAACGCCACGCCTGAATTGCTTGTAATCAATTCGCACATCGAATCTAAGTTGCATTATTATCTCCTCTAAGCTCTCCTCTTATTATCTCGTCTATCTCCTAGCTGTTACCCACTGACTCAGCGAGCCTAGAGCCAGAGCCCATGGCAGTAAGGTTGATACTGGTGTTGGTGCTGCTCGTTGCGATTGGTGCAAAAAATTAGATTGGCAATGTCGTCTTGGGACGTCGTCTCATTCTGCTTGTTGTAGCGAAGACATCGCTTGGACAGCGCAACTGCTGGGTTGTCGATGAGCAATAACGAGGAACCAAGGATGCGTCTTATCGTATATCGTGTAGCGTGCCAAACTTGCTGTTGTCAACACAACATAGAAATAGTTCAAAACACAACGAAGAAAAAAAATCTGGCCTGGATCAAGCTTTCTAAAAAAAAACGTCAATTTGAAACTATAGCAAGAACAAGTGCACGGCCGCCCCGCGAAAGGCGGTGTGACAGATGTACAAACGGATGATTCTACATTCTGTTTCGATAAGAGAATTGGGCTATAAAAGAGTTCGCTAATAGTTTGGTCATTCGAAAATTCATTCCATGATTCGCTGCCAAAGCTCTAGT